CTACAACAACATTTGGTACAGTTCATGGTAAAAAGAAACCCTCCAAAATACACTCGGCTGACAAACAAACCTCTTGTCATCCATACTCAACAACCTCTGTCTCTGTCTGTCTGTCTCTCTCTCTCTCTCTCTCTCTCTCTCTCTCTCTCTCTCTCTCTCTCTCTCTCTCTCTCTCTCTCTCTCTCTCTCACTGGCGTTCTTGCGAAACCCATAGCGTGAAGGGCATACACAGAATACGGTCTTGGAATAATGACAGGCTTTTTCAGACATAAAAAATCACACCCGTTTCAATGACTCTGCATCGTGCAGATCGAACCTTGAGATTCCAACATAGTCGTGTGGTGCGCATCCACCATAAGGATCGCTGGCGCTCTACTCTAAGTGTGTTTACGTCTCCGCCAGAACGTCCCACCCCCTATGGGCGTGACCCGCGGATGAAAAGGGGCGGTCCCCTGGGACCCTGACTCACAGTGGTGTCGAGAGGAGGCCGTATTGATCGGGGCCTTTTCTCAATTCCTCAACTCACCCCGAGCCTGTCATGGGTCCGCCTCGCTAGCCCTGGCTGCTTTTATCACCATCGATATTGGTCGAGTTGGCCTGGAAATTGTTGGCCGCAGATTGGCGGTCACAAGGACTCCTTGTGTTCGAGAGGGAAACTTTGCCTGGAGGAAGTCTTTTTCTTACGTGTCTTTTTCTTCGCTTTTTCTTGTTTTACTTATTTTCTACTTACAGGGTAGATGGGGATGACACTGGTTGGTCCCAATTCTTTCAATCCTTCTCGACCCCCCCCCCTCTCCAATCCCTCGTTGTCTTACTTTCATTTACCATTAACTGACCTTTACAGATCCATCGCGGCGCTCTTTAGTTTAAATAAGACACACACAAACGAAGACACCGTGGAATCACGATCATAGTCTCAAAACAATTGAAGCAATTTTTTTGGGTTATTTGTTAAGCCTGCTGTCAAGCCAATGAAGGGACTCAGTCTTGAGTTAGGGGCCGTTTTGAAAAGAGGTTATTTAATCTGATCTTGAATTCAAGACTTCACTCGATTTTCCTTTGTGGTCTTCAAATGTTTTCTTAGCCGATAACCATTTGAAGGTTTGAAGCCTTGAATACAACAAGAATACTCTCCCCCCCCCCCCACCCACCGAAACATCGTTTCACAACACTGCAGATTCATCCAAATCGCACATTGCTAACATGCTAGTTACGTGAACTAGGTTTTAAATATATTATATAACTTACTAATTACCTTTGTGTATACATTGTAGCTATGAAAACAAGCACTTCGTCAAAGTAATGCTAAATCTAGACCTGGAATATTTTGTCACCATCGATACTGGTTTTAAAATTTCTCGCCAAAAATTTCGGTCTCGTCGTCTTTAGGGCTAAGTTAACAATATTCTTACTGTGACACCGCTCAGAAAGAGACTGGAAGCCGTTACTAGTATTCCACTATCTTCCTCATCCTTGTGTCGTTCCTTATATATTATGTCATTACCATTTTCTCAGCGCAATGTCTCCAACGTCACGACTTTATCCTTGATTTGATCTCAAGAAAACAAACATTTTTTCACTCAACTTTTGCCTCTTTGGAATCTTATTACCCAGCATTCAAGAAATCTTACCTCAAACAGAATAAGTTACTTATGCATGAATGTTGTTACTTGTGATTATGCGACTCTTCCTTTTTAAACTGAACGTTAACGTAACCCGATAAGCCCAGAACCTTTTCAATAACGGGGATTCTTGGTGGGTAAAGCCCCTCCAAACTTAAAAGCGTATGGGGATTGGGGGGGGGGGTGTAGTGCCGCAAGCTTATAAAGAATTAGGTTGTTTTTATTAATATATGGAGTCTTTTTGCATGTGCCACATTAAATAAGAAAGCCTGCAAATAATAATTTGATGTCCAAAGATTGACTTTGAATGAATGCATTATACATGGCTTGAGAATCTGATCAAGACACAGAAACGGCCAAATAAAAGATGACTAGGTAAAATTCACAGAAAGTATTCTTTTTCTTTAAAACAAAATGTCTTACTTGTGAAAATGAATGAGTCGTATCATAAAATGTTTGTGGTGTTCCCCAAGAGTTTTGTTCTGATCTGGTAATCCGTTACGTTTGAAATTGAGTTTATGACAAAATGTGTCAAAAGCAAAAGTGAGATACATTTATTCTTTTAAATGGACTCCAACTCCTCCTGCCCCCCCCCCCATTCGTCGCTCCCAAGAGCTGTGCCGGGAAACTCAGCGGTCTTCTCTTCTCAGAGTTATTTGACAAATTAATGTTAACATCCAGCTCATGCTGTTTTGACTCGTGTCACATCAAGTTCTTAGAGCAATTGAACATCTGTGAGAAATAAATTCAGTACAAAAGATTACTTTTTAAATTCATTTTGACATCTGTGCGTTTGTCGTCTGCATATCATCTTCATGAATCGAAAAGAGACAGGTACGCTGTCCAATTAAATAAATCAATAAGATTATTTCCCTCTGATTAAAAAAGACAACCCAGTTTCTTTTAGATAAATTGGGTATATTATTCAGATTTAGCATTTTCTCTGAAAAGATTTTAAAAACAAAAACAAAGAATGTGTACATAGAGAAACAGAAACTGACATCTCAACGTCGTGTCTTGGAGGATAGAGAGACAAGTCTGCGAGTGTTCTCCGAGGGAATTCCTTTGTACAAACCAGTGGAGAATATGGACCTCACGGGAGTGCTTCCAGCATTGCCCCGGCCGCTCGAGGCAGAGGCTCAAAGTCATTAATCAAAATGCAAGAGGCAGCTAAGAAATCTGGCGCCACGTGACCACACCAGCTCGCCATTTGGCCGATGAGGCCAGTAACACGTGATCTGTTGCACAATTGACCAATTTCTGATGTCCGGAAATTTCTATGCTAACATCCAGTCTTACAATTCGTCTGGATATTATGTGCCAAGTGCAGATTGCTTCCGAGGCTGTGAAATTGTTCTCACGCCAATTGAGCTGATTTCCGGGACAAAAACCCGACTTGCTTGCCAGCCGCTCTGCAAGTCGCCAGCGTCAAACCCGTTCCTATTTCCAAACATAGCCGGCTGGCGCACACTCCCTGCACGTGCATTGACGGCTAGTGCGTGAGCGAGAACTCTGGCTCGTGTAATGAGTCTCTACCCACAATACACTTGGCACACAATCTAACCAATCAAAGCCTGCTCGAACAATGCATCAAAATCAACTCATTCAATACGACACTAGACGGGTTTTCTCTCGTCAGCGTCTAATCAAATTAAAAAGTCTTTCTCTCAAATGCCAGCATGAAACGATTACCTCGTAAGCCTTGTCGCCCTTGCTGGTAGACGCCGCCGTTATTGCCACTTCTCATTTCCTGCACAAGTTACTTTTTCCGGGAGGCAATTTAATTTTGATTCTATTTCTCAAATCAGGGGACGTTTTATTGCCAATGATTAGAAATCGAAGTGTTATTCAACAGAAGCTGTCGTGAGCCGCTCAGACATCTGACATAAAAACACACATTCGCAAACACAGCAAATGTACTTTAGCTTCGTTATGTACGTAAGTCTGGACTTTAAATCGCACTCTTTTCTCTGATCTTTCCCCTCTCCCTACTTGCTCGCTATCTCCCGCACTTTCTCCTCTCTCTGCCCCCCCCCCCAATCTTTTGACCCCCCCCCCCCCCCTTTTCTCTGTCCGTCTACCACTATCATTCTCTCTCGATGATCGAAAACGTTAACATTTTTTTCTGTTCTCCTGTTCTGTTGATTTGACCACAATATATTTCAAAAGTCTTCCCCTGTTGTTTTTACGATTTTGAAAAAAAATTCTTGTGGCATATTCGTTCTTTCCTTCTTCTTATAAAAATAATCTAAAAATAAATGCGAATACCGAACTAGACAATCTAAAACGTTTCCCATCCCACGCAATGAAATGTCACATCTGCCCCATGAGCTAAGATAAACTTTCCCAAATACTTGGGTTGTGATTATAAAATGACAAGCCAAATTCCTCTTCGAATTAATTTGGGCCTGTGACACGGACAGATCCAACAATAATGACAAGAGAAGAATCATCTTTTTTGGTAAATTGAATGCAACGTGTGGTCTGAAATAAGTAATCCCCCGGTTTTGATTTGCACCTGACTCATGGCAATTAATATTTAAAGCTGTAGTAGACTTGGCAGCAGGTGGTATTACTATTCAAGCTGCTTGTAAGACTAGGTTAGAGCGATATTAAGTTCAGAATTTTCGCAATCCTTTTTCAGTTGGGTCAGGAATTTTTGAAGAAGCACGTCGTGCTAGCTACACATTTGTTAAAAGAAAAAAATATGATTGTAGAATACCGTCTCTTTGAGTGTTTGTCTTGAGTAAATGATTGTTTTCTGGGTTTTTTAAATACTTTTCGGATGAGATTCCATGACTCTGAAACAAGGAAACGAATCTTGACCAAGGAAACATCAACTTTCTTCACCAGCAACATCAATGTGTTTGAGTTCGAAGCCTCAGAAAGAAGGTTTCTTCGCCTGGAGTGTGGCTGTGGGCACGGTCCTGATCAGTTTACCCAACGGCTCTCCTTTCGATTTGACCATCTGGACAAGATACGTCAGATCTTACTTGAGATACCATTGCTGCACAGACTGCAAGCACAACGATCCCACCTGGATATCGTCTCTCTTTCTGGTAAATGCCTCATGTGCTCACAGAACCACGGTTTCTTTTATCAGTATTTTTAAAACTGCTAGGGGCCACTGTATTAGCAGGCCTGAAAAATGATTTTTGAAAAAATGTTCTTCGTAAAAAAAAACTATTTCTCTTGACTAGAAAGAGTAATGATTTTGATGCGAATAGCATAGTGTGCGAATGATGGAAACGTGGTTACTTAAAATAAATGCTATTAACTACCACCCCCTTGCCTTTCACTGAGTCGAGGGCATCTTGTCTAAAAGCACATTTAGTTCCATATCTGTCATCACAGAACATGTTTTGCATATGTTGCTACTTGATCAGTTACTATTTACAAGTGTGCAAAAGGTTTCTGGGCTTAAGCTTAAGATTAAAGCTTAAAAATTAGATGAGTGAGTTCGTCTCTGAATCGTCTATTTCATGTTATTTGTTATATGATCTAACAATTATCTGATAGTACAGTGGCAAACAAACATTGAGATAACCAAACTTTATCTTCAAAAGTATAATGCATATCAAACATTATGGGAATTCAGTGGTCTACCGAACAATAATTTTTCTTCCTTTCATAGCCAGTCTCATGTGCGCTCGATGTGGGTACCTTTGGTTCAGATTATGTCCTAAATATCTAATTATTTCTGCTGGTTGTTTTGTTTTCTCACGGCTCTGGTGTGATTGACCTCTCTTTAGAGGATTACTTTTGTACTCTTCGCCCTTTGTTTCTCAGAAGAATGTGCTCCCTTATGAATCTTGTTGCTCTCAGTTGTATTAGCTTCTTTCCTTTCTGTCTCCCTTAAACTATCTTCTAAGCCTATTTTCCTCATTACCAGGTTATTCACTATTTCAATGAATTATGTTTTCAATACTTATAGACATAAAAATAACAAATAAGAGCAATAGAACTCAAAACCAAAGCGCGCCGCGCATGCGCACACATACACACTCACACATATCACATACACATACACAAACACACACACTCACGCACATACACGCATAAACACATACACACTCAAACACAAACACACACTCACAGACAGACACACAAACAAACAAACACACACACAAACACAAACACACAAATACACCACACCAACAAAGAGCGTCTACTACACTATAGACAATCCACAGCACTGACTATTGTTTGTATATTATTGTGTACACCTCAAATTCAAACGTTCTTTGATGCAAATCTCCAGGTTTCACAGTCCATCTCGCTCCTCCTTGCCCCGCGGCTCTCGCGGGTTCTGGGCCCAAAGACATGTCAGGCGGTAGCGGCTCTTCTCCACGACCTCGCCTGGCTCTTGTGTTGCGTCACCGCTGCGCATGCGTCAGCATCTGCAACCTTGACATTAGCTGTCCTGCCTGGCCTCGCTTCGGGTGTAATGCTGGCCGTAAATTTGACCTACGTGGCGAACTGGCTTCCTAATAGAGTTGTCATGGTTACCGCGTGCGTCGTTACAGCTCCAGGGATTGCAGCCATTTTCATTAATAAGCTGACATCCGCATATGTGAACCCTCGTTACATCAAACCGAACGTTCTAGAGGATGGGAGGATATTTTATGAAGCACCCGACGTTTTGGATAAAGTTCCAATGACTTTCGTGATAGTGTCAGTTGTTTCATTCTGTGTTCATCTAATCGGGATTTCGTTATTAAGTAATCCGCCACAAGAAGTACAGCAGGTTAAAAAGGAGACGGAAGAAATTGAGCTCCAGGAACTGCACCATAGAGATACCACTGCTCACACAAATCCAACAGAACTCCAACACCACTACAAAAGTCGCTCTGAGAGTGGAATGAGCAGTCTTTCCTCGCTCGACGGGAAAGAGGAGCTGAAGACATTGGACGAAAAAGGACAGTGTCAAGAAAGAACTTGTCCTTACAGTTACAGTTCTTCCACAGAAACCCAACCTTTGGGATCCGGGAGAATCTGTGAATATAGCTCATTTATGACGACTGACTTGATAAGAGATACTTCTAACACTACTGAGACTTCTGGTAACCTTAGCAGTTCAAGTTTCGAGTCGAATACATCAAAATCCACTGCGCTAACACTCTCTATTTTGAAAGACTGTTGTTGGAAAAGAGATGAGAGGCACCTGTTTTGTCAATTACTGACTAAAGCAAAATCTAAAGACAGTATTTTTTCTTCGTCGATGTCAGATCTATCTTGCAGCTCGCCATTCCATGCTATAAGGAGAGAAACTCTTTACGTCTTATGCTTTTCTGTCTTAGCCATTAATAACGGCGTTCTCTTGGTCTCCATCCTCTGTGGACCTGTGGCCCACGACTGGAATAAAAACAAAAAAGAATCAGACTTTAGTCAATATCTAGGTGCAATGTCGGCCTTTCTTTTGACTATGATGGAAAGCTTTCTTGTTGAGTTCTCAACTCTTGGTATAAAAAAGGCATTATCGCTTAATTTAGCTCTAAATGCATTGCTACTCTCCTTTTGGGTTTTCACAATACGGGTGGGGGAATGGCTCTTCCTGGTTTGGACAACCGTGCTGTTAGGTGTACAAAAAGCTACAGATTTCCTGTTTCCTATCTCGGCCCTACGATACTTCGGAAGTGAGTATTATATTATGACTTTTGGTATAGTCATGACAGCAACGATCCTCAACAACACTGCGATTTTAACAGGAGTTGACCTGCTTTATAAAGTGGCAAATTTGTACGTTTGGCTAGGTCTTGGGAGCTCTTTCTTGAGTTTGTCGGCACTTGTCGTTGTGCTTGTGTTCCTGAAGTGAGGAGTGGAGAGGGTATGCTGTATGCCAGAGCGAAATAGAAACTTGCTGGAGTAACACAAGAAAGGACAGTTACACTGATTTAACTAATGTATAAAAAAACACAACAGAAGCATAGCGTGTGTGGTGGATCTTTTAGGCGCTTTGCAGTCGCTATTGCATATATAGAAGTGACCTGATTTCGATTCCCGAGAGGGAAGAACTTTTATCGAGTATCTCGGTCTTTCTGCTGGGATGTTGTGTCCCTCTCAGCTTGGGTTGGCACGAAAAGCAGGATCGAAACCCAATTCTTGTTTGATCTTGCATTAAAAAAAAAATTACACGCCCGTTAGATCCACATTGTCCATTGCATGCTTTGCAATTTGACGACATGCGTCTTTTCATCTGTCTTTTTAGGCGACTGGTTCGTACCCCATCCAGATTGCACAAGACAACACACCCAAACATGATACACACACACACACACACACACACACACACACACACACACACACACACACATACACACACACACACACACACACGAAATCACACACTAGCACAGGCACCTGCAAATGCTTACATAAAACACACACTCAGACACATACTCACACTTACTCAGAAACACTCACAACTACCAACTCCACCCCCACCCCCCGTCCCCGTAGTTCCATCACTCCTACCGTCCACCGTCTCATGTTCCCCTGACCGCCCCCCATGCATAATTGCCTGCAGTATTTGCATGCGATTCCGTTGTTTGCCTTCTATAGAGTTGAGTACTTCCTCATAATTCTCACCCCACTCTCTGTAATTCCCTAATCGCCACACGCACTCCTTTCGCAGATCGTGTGTCCCAGCGGCTTATCGGGCACGGAGCACAATCGCTAGGCGACCGTGAAATTCTTTTACGGCCAATTACTGTCTTGAGCGGGGAGGAAAGGGGAACGGAGTCGCCTTTGATATAATACATTAATATTGGCCGGAGAGGGCCCCCAAAAAGCAACGGCTGGCCCGTGTCAATTTCCCGCCATTCGATGCTATCGCACACATAACGGAAATGAAGGTCGACCCAGACACTTGACGACATTTCCTTTTCCAAACCGCTATCTGCTCTTCTTCCATAATATTCAACCATTCAGCCCTTCATTCTTTCCGCCTTTCATTTATACGGTAGTATCAAAATGTTTCGTTCCCGATCCATCTCTGTGTATGGGCTCAAAGAATTTTTTCTCGAATTTTTTATTTGTACATTTAGCCTACCATTACTGCGCATCATTGCTGGCCTTACAAGGCCGCTAATGTCTGCACACAGCAATGTTCTAACAATTTAAACAACTGAACCGAAACTGCAAATTGCAACAAAAAAACAACAACAACAACAAACAAACAAAAAAGTTGAAGAAACCTTTAAAAAGGTAAAACAAAGATAAATAAAACGGAAAGGAAGTTAACATCGGCAAAAGCTCAGGCGACGACGCTGGCGACAACTGAAACAGTGGTAACAATGACAGTGACACTGGGCCACAATGTAAGAACTACATTGTGTTCAGAGGATACTTTGTAACAATGTGTACATTTTCGCATAACTGATCCAACATATCATTGTTCTGAATAATGTTATCGATCAATATATTGTTATGTTCATGGATTCTTTGTTTGATCTCACCATGAGTTCATCCTTTCAATAAACTCCATTAAAGTTATTTCTGTGCCACTGTTTGTATATCATATTGTGTTCTTCTACTTACATGTGTTTGTTTTGTTTTTTTCAAACATTCGCCAAGGGTTATATTTGCATGTGCGTAAGCATACATCGTGTAAATATATTATTTTCTATATTATATTTATGCGCAGCTATGTAAGAGCGTTCAACCATTCAGCTTTAGAAGAATTTAGGTAAAACAATCACTCGTTGGGAAAATCCAGCAAAGACACCCCCACCCCCTTTTCCCAGATAAAGAAGACAACAAATAAAAGAGCAACAACCAAAAGAACAAAACAAAACAAGCAACCGATCCTCCCGAAACACACACATAAACGCACACATAATACACACACACACACACACACACACACACACACACACACACACACACACACACACACACACACTCACATACGTGCATTCACTCACGCGCGCGCATGCACGCACGCACCTTTTTTTTACACCTTACATTCAAACCGTACCGAGAAAACAGATTACTGGTGAAAGAGGTCTACTGGTCAAAGTCGAACCACCAGCTTTCAGTATTGTAGTGTGCTCACTTACTCTATTGAGTAACACAAAATAAAAAGAAAGAAAAGAAAACATGCATACAACGCAGAGTTTATTGGGGTTTTTGAGAAAGGTGCAGACCGTTGTACTGGCTATAACATGCTCACATGAGGCAGAATCAATCTTCTACAGGCGTGAAAGGTGCCGTAAAAGCACGCACATTACGTACCTCGGCACCAAAGATGCAATAACGGTGTCTTGGGAACGACAAGAAACAGCTAATGGTTACTTCCAGTTGAACATATGAGTGACGTTTGCTGTCTTTTCACCCATTATCCTTTCTCTTTTCTGTTGTTGTGGTCCCTTAAGAGACCAAAACCAGAGCGGCCATGTAATTCTAGTCCTTTGTCTTATTTACCTGGAGTGCGAGAGGAGTGTGCCATGGCCCAATGGCAGTGGGAGAATACGGAAAAAGTAACACGGCAGGTAGAAATAACAGACGAACTAGGAAGAAGTAAGGTAATAATAACAGATTGCGTCTGCCAACCTTCAGCAACAGGCAGCTGGGAGATATCAGTCCGATATAATGATATACGTAGATTGTTCACCCCCGCGGGACTCGATGGCTTGGATGCACGGGGATGAGAGAATGCCTGAGCGTTCCCCGCTCTTCAGAAGTTGAGTTGAGTTTTATTGAACCCATGACGCCGTTCCTTTCCGCCAGTGCCAAAAAACATTTTGGGATCTCTTCAGTGTCGTATACAGACACTGTGAGGCTCACAGGGTATGCAAGGCTTTCGAACTCAAATTCGTCATTGAGACCCTGGCTCTAAAGATTTCCTAGCAAAATCAAAGAGAATATAAATTTAGAATACCAAAAAAACCCACAAACGAAACCCAATGTAGAACCTAGAGTTTAACGTTGTACCGTGATTGTTAATTGGGATCCATGGTCTGTTCGTTTTTGGTTGTGACCACTGGTAAATCGTTTTGAAGTCCGACCAATAGGACGAAGACACGAAGCATAGCTGCTTATTCTGCATTCGACGAACAAATGTATTGTTGAGGTTCGAACCCATGTAAGATAAAACATTCTCCCTTCTTTTCGGATACTTTCCCTCTATTCCAAGTCTGATGCTCCATTTCTCAGGGAGACTCGTCCTTAGACCTGTCTTAAGGGAAAGACATGTGAAGGACAAGGTTCGATAATTAATTTTTGTTAATATAATATGGACTCTCGTCATGACCGAGCACCTTTCTACACTATGCAACAATTTTTGAGCAGACAAGAAACTTGATGACGAGATAGGACGACTGGTTTTGAGCCCAGCGGATTCTAAACTCTCCATCAGTATACAGAAGCACGAGTTTTGAAGTCTACTTGGGTTAGACTTTATGTCTGTGTTCTGAAATATTCGTCTACTGTCTTCTGTTTTTGTTTTCTGTTTTTTAAATTAAAATTGATGAATCTAGCACAGCATCTAAGGACATCAACCGTTTGATCACCCCACCCCCCAACTTCTTCAGGACCATCTGTGTTCGAGTTCTAGCAAGCGCGCATCTGGACCGCTTAAAAGCTTTTACGAATCTCCATGTCATCCTCAATAAGATAGAGTTCTTATTTATAGACCAAGCGCATTAAGCTTGGCTTTTTTTGTTCAAAGATCGCAACAGGTTGATAAATACTAAAGAACATAATTGGGCGACGACTGGAGAAGCAAGGTACATTGTGTACATAAAGGTATATTATATACATTAGAGTTTAAAGTCAGCGCAAAGCCTGCAGTGGTTAAGCACAAGTACTTAACAAAGAACTCAGTGGCTATTACTACAGATTTCAGAAGGTCATTGACCCAGCATTTGTAAACAAAGAAGCTGACTATAAGGAGCTACATTTGTTATGATAAGTGGTACATGTAACTGACACGTTTGAATGAAACGTTTAAATAGAGATTGAGAGAGAGAGAGAGAGAGAGAGAGAGAGAGAGAGAGAGAGAGAGAGAGAG